CTGAGTATATATCTGTTAGATTAGTATAAATTTTTGTGCTATTTCAGGGTCCAAGGGTAGATCATATTTATAAGACTTTGGCTATATACTAATTATTTTTACTTTTTATTTTGAAATAATTATAGATTCACAAAATATTGGAAAAATGGTACAGAGAAGTCCCTTGTACCCTTCACCCAGCTTCCTCCAATGATAACATCTGTATAATTATAATATATTATAAAAACTAGGAAATTGACATTAGCACAATACAATTAGCTGGCCTACAGACTTTACTTCGATTTTACCAGCTGAATTATTTTCTAATAATAGTAGAGTGGAAAGACACATTCTTTCCTGCTTTAAAGCTGTCTTTAGAACTTCCTTCTTCTAACCTTCTGTAGAAGAAAGAATATAAATCTGCCTGGTAGACTATTCTCTTTTATTGAAAATCAGGATGAGGAAATGCAGGTAAGAATCTCTCACCAGATGCAGGGGGTGAACTATTGTTTATGGTACAGAAAATAAGTAAGTTTCTGTCCTCCGTCTGATTCTTCACAATCACCCCAGTTTCTTTACAATACCCTAAGTCAGAGTTTTCCAAAGCCTGGCATACCCTAACACAAAATGAATAACACTGAATCACACAGTAAGAAGGTTATTCTCTTTTAATTTCTCCTTTACTCTTCTGATCACATCAAGGAGAAAGCCTCAGTTTGGGGCTACTCTTTAATGTCTCTCTAAAACTTGCTAACTCTGGCTTCTTAACCCAAATCCCTCAGGGGGCAAGTTCAGATCTAGGTAGGCAATAGCATTTAACTGGGATTCAATGACACGTCGTTGTTTTAATTATTATAAACATGCATTTTTCTTTCACCTTTAAATGTTAGCAAGAGAAACTGGTTTTCCATTTACAGAAATATTAAGCTTCCTTTTAAAATAAATTATTTCAATAAAGACTGATTTGACATTTTAAAAGAAAAGTATGTGACTATGTCAAAAGGCATAAAGATGGGATGCAAATGACTGAGTTTAGGAAAACATTTGTTAGAGCATTTGGTTCATAAAGAACTGGCCAACCTCACCGTCTAGCATGTTCTTGTTTGGGTTTAGTTTGGGTTAGAGTGGGGACCATCTGACTCTTGGTTCTTTCATGAGATCTGCTTACAAAAAAGAAGAAACATCTAATAACATCTACATCTAATAACCACAGACTCCCCATTCATCACAGATGGTCCACACTTCCTGGATCATGTATGGGTGAGTAGGGAGCGAAGTCCCATGGGTGCCCCATGCTACAACATCAGAGAAGCTCTAGGGCAAGAGGCAAGAAGTACATGGCAGGGTCTTGAGGACAGACACTGCCAGGTAGGATCCACCTGAATCCGGTAAAACTCAGCTTAAGGTGGTGCTGAGAACATTCAAAGCAGCACCCAAGAGGAATCCAGTATAAAACCATTATCGACCACTTGATGTACATCTGCCCAAACACAAATTTTTAAGAATAGCCTTCATTCATAAACCCATTCAACAGATATTTATGGAGCATCAACCACATGCCAGTCACTGTGTCAGATACACCTGTTCAGTGAGAAGCTACCTAAGTTCCTTGCTCTCCTAAAGCTATCTGGGGGAGGTGGGTATTAAATAAATCACTATAAAATAATGACAGAATTGCAATTGTGATAATTGTTACAAAGAGGGGAGTGTAGGATGACAAACTCTCTGCTAGTGAGATTCAAGGAAGGCTTCCCTGAGCAAGTGGCATTTTAGAAAGCTCAAATTTGCAGAGAAGGAGGTGAACAAGGCAAAGCGGGAAGGAAGAGAGTAACTAGGAAGAGAGGAAGGGGAAGAGAGCGTGTTGCCAGGAAGAAGAGCATGAACAAATAAATACCTTATGGCAGGAAACCTTAAACTGTCCTAAGAGTAAAGAGAAAGCCAGTGGGTCTGGAGTGTGGTGGGCGAGGAGGAGAAGTGGGTTCAAGCCAAGGCCGGAGAGGTGGGCACCGGCCAGATCACACAGGGCTTGGTAGGTCAGAAGAAGGATTTGATTTTATCTTAAGGCCAATGGGAACCTCCCGAAGGGTTTTGAATAGGGGAACAATATGATCGGATTATCACATTTGCCTTTTCTTATAATCTGAAATCAAGATGTACTTGGAAACGCAAGCAGCAGAAGCTCATAAATATCACGCAGGTATTAAAAAAGTGCAGCCCGTAATCGGGAGTGCCGATGGGGTGGGAGTGGGGTGGGAGAGGCCGGCAGTCTGGAGAGGGATGCATAATTCACCTTTTTAAAAAATTTCTTCTCCCACCCCGCCCCCTAGTTCACTTTTTGTTTGTTTTTCAAAGACTACACGTTCATCTGATTTGATGCCAAGGTGGCATTTGGGTGAGCCAGGATGAAATCCCCATTTAAAACCCTCCCCCTTCTCTAAAAGTTTCAAAAGAAATTTTCTCCCCAAGACTAAGGGCGCACGTGGGTGGTGCTGGGGACCACCCACAGGGTGTGATTCGAGAGGGGCTAAGAGACCGAGACCGCTCCTCCTCTTCAATGTCAATTTTCTCTGTCCTCCGCTAGTGCCTAAAATTCTATCATATGATTCTATTCAGCTGAATTTTCAGTTGCCAAATATGCTAGGGAAGAGCTCTAGCATTGGATCTCTCCTGCCTTCTGGGAATGTGCTGGTTTGATTGTGTTTTCTCAGGGATGGTTCAAAGTGCTTGAAGCTTCTTGAGACCACTGACCACACAGCGGTGTGGAGAGGCCATGAGACTGCATGGACTATACATAGGAGCCTAGTCTCCTCTCGTGACCTCATTATTTTGTCTTGGCTTAGCCCTAGGATCAGCTGGTGTGTACAGTATAGATAGACGTATAAACTCGTATGGATTTATACAGTAAAGACACATGGGTGTACTTGCGGCATGTACATGACTTTATAAAGTGAAAAGAAATAATAGTAAGGAACACTGGCCCTGGGATGTAACCAACCTGCGTTCAGATCACAAGCTTTGTAACTCTGGGAAAGTTATAGTACCTTGCGGGGTGTCTGGGAGAGTTCAATGAGATGACCTGTTTATTTTATTTTTTTTCTTTTCCTTTTTTTTTATTTTAGCGTATTATGGGGGTACAAGTGTTAAGGTTACTTATATTGCCCTTTCCCCCCTCTTCCCTCGAGTAAGAGCTTCAAGCATGAGATGACCTGTTTAAAATCTTAGCCCTGGCCCGGCCCGTGGTATACAGCAAGTGCTCCATATGTGCGTGTGTCCTTATGCAAGCTTGTGTACGTATGTGCACGTAGGTGCAGATGTGGGGACGTAAGGGAGCAAGACGGTGTTGCAGAACAAGAGAGGGAAGGAGAGCGAATGTTACCAACCCCTGCAGCGGGGGTTCCAGCATTGGAGTGGCCCTTTCTAGGGTGTGAGGGGACTACAGGACACAGAAGAGACCAGCTCAGCTTTACAAAATGGAACGCCGTAAACGGCCCCGAACCACAAAGGGCTTCCTTGGGGTCACAGAGTTGAGAGTGGGCCTTAATTGGAGGAGGCAGGCAAGCAGAATGGGACGTGATATTTTTGAAGCTCAAAGGGGAGATTTAAAAAATGAGTTGCAAGTGGTCTTTGAAATTGACATGTATCCAAACTAGGCCTCAGTGCTCAGAAGACAGATATTGATAATGTCCTCAGTTTCAGCCTAAAGTTCTCCCTCGTTTTGAACTTTGTGCAAGTTTCATTTTTCAGAACTGACATGGATGAACTTTGAGAAACCTAAACCACCACAATGCTCTCAGGCTTTTTGGTCCCCTCTTAAAATTTTCTTGTGGCGCTGTATCTAAGTGTTTTCTGCATAATAAAGACCTGTCATCCTTATGTTGAGAGAGAAAATATAGTTTAAAAACAAAAAAAAAGAACACCTGATTTTAGTCCCAGTTCTGCCCCTAACTCGCTGGGCAACCTCAAAGAATCTCTTGATCTTTCCAAACTCAGCTGCTTCATGGAGTGGTCGTTTTGGTCGTTATCTCGTGACTTCCTGCCATCCTAGATCGGCCTTAGCTCTCTTGAACCACCTCTTCTCCTCCTAAAGTTATATCACTCCATGACACAGTAGCTGAGAGCACAGACCACCTGCGTCTGCCAGCTGTGACTCGAGGTTGAGTTATCTGCCTTCTCTGGGTCTCAAGTTTCCTCTTCTGTAGAACAGAGGTAAGAGGAGTTTAGTGTATCCCCGGCCCTTAAGAAGGAGAAATGGTTTCATATAAGTAAGATATAGAAAACAGTTTTCGGCACAGACGAGTGCTACCCTGGTGTTATGTAAGATTATTATTATTTACTTACTCAATTGGATGCCTTTGTAATTTTACAGGAAATGTGTTATTGAGAAACCAAAAGAAATAGAAGTATACGCATTATTTGGGGATATGAAAAGACGACAGTGAATAACAGGTGGGAGGAACGCTGGGGACCATTGCTTTTTCCTTTTTTAAAAGAAAAGGCCCTTCTGTGCTCTGATTTTTCAAGTACGCGTATGTACACAACACTGTTTTTCGAGTTCAAAGAGATTGAGCAAAAAGATCACTAAAGCCCCTGTCATCTCTAAAATTCAGGGATTGACTATGATTTTTAAGGAGCAGTATTTTCTAGGTGGCCAGATTATCCTTGTTATCGTAAATACCATTAAATAACACATTTGACCTTCCCAGGAAATCCTTACAAAAGTTTAAAATAAACACAGTCCCTTTGGTATGTTTATAATGGAGCAGGTTTCAACTCCTTGGATGGAATAGAAAACGGGAAAGGTAAAAATATCAACTTTGTAAATACTTGGCCTTAGGGGCTGACTTCTAAACTGTTTTGCCTCTTACAATCTTTTCCCAGAGATCAGTTCAGTTTCCTAAAGGAAGGCTCAGTAACAGAGAGTTAACTCAAAAAAAAAAAAAAGCGTTGCTGATAGGCAGCAGCCTGGCGGTGAAAGCGTTAACAGGGCTGGGTAAGGCGATCCCTTTAAATGAGTAAGACTGAGTTGTTAAAGTTTTCAAAGCAGTAGTAGCAGCAGCAGCGGCCACACTTGGGGAAAAAGGAAGCCTGTTGGAGGGAGCAGCCTGCCCCTGCTGAGCGGAGGAGGGGTTGAGAGCCCAGTGGAGGTTCCAGGCACAAGGTTAGTGGCCGCCAGGCACCTTCCCAGCCCGCCATGCCGATGTCTTTGGAGAAAAGTCTTGGGGAGGCCAGGCGCCATCTCTCACCCTCCCGTGTCACGTCTGCCCTGCTTACTGGTTACTAGTTGGGTCGCTCGCCCTCCTGCCAAGCCTCTTGGGCTGTGGTGGCATTCCCTGCAGCCTTGGCACTTGGGAGGGACAACTGAATTCTTCCCAGGAGACTTTTCTGAACTGGAGACTTCTTTCCGTAGGTTCCGAAAGGAAACTTGTTTCTGGGTTGTTTTCATAACACACACACACACACACACACACACACACACACACACACGGACCCCCACCTGTCTGCTGCTCTATATCGGTTTCTACAAGTTGTGACCACAGTGCAGAATTCCTATCTGCTTCACTTGAAACTGAAAACAATTGTCAGAGTAACTAAACAGGCTGCACGACTTTACCTTGTGGGAGGAATATTGTCTCTGAGCCTAAGGTAATCAGAGTGAGGAGGCAAAAAAAAAAGAAAAAGAAAAAGAAAAAAAGAAATGGCCTGTAGTTAAGGCAAAACAATTTTTGAAAATGGGTTTCTAAGAGACATTTTTCTTATTCATTGCTAGAACAAAATCGTGGGGGAAGATATATTGTGCAGGAAATAATTCTACATCTGCATGAGATTCAGATAAACTTCCTTCCCTAAACTTAATCTGCGTGTGATGCAGGTAATAGATAAATTTAAACCTGGGGAAGAGGGAGGGGCAGAGAGCCTTGCAGATACTGCATTCTGACGGGGCTTTGATTCAAGAGTTGAGACTAACCGGTTGGGGTGCTCTCCCCAGGCAGGGTAAAGGACCCCTTGCAGCCCTGGCTGGTGGAGAGGAGAGAGCAGCCACTTTTGCAGGCTGGTTTTGTTGCAATGAGCAGTCAGTCCTCTGCCGAGTGTTCCCAGTGATCTTTGCAGCACGCACGAGTTGAGTCTCATACCTGCTAGCACTGAATCAGAATGAGTCATGCGGGACTTGGGTGCCGGAACAAAGTACTTGCAAACTGCCTGATGAGACACTGCCTCCATGTAGGTGGGATATACCTCGCAGAGCAGTCACAGTTTTTTTCCTCCCTTCTTTGAGCAGGCAGGGATTCTGACGCTCTCGAGAGAGACGGGCTCTGCCCCCTTGCCTGAGCCGACCCTACAATGTGGACCCTGCTCCTCCAGCTCAGGCCTGGAGACCTGAAATAAAATGGATGATTTGACGCTGCTGGATCTTCTGGAGTGCCCCGTGTGCTTTGAGAAGCTCGACGTCACAGCCAAAGTTCTCCCCTGCCAGCACACCTTCTGCAAACCATGTCTGCAGAGGGTTTTCAAGACCCACAAGGAGCTGAGGTGCCCGGAATGCAGGACCCTGGTGTTCTGCGGCATCGAGGCGCTGCCGGCCAACCTGCTGCTCGTGCGACTTCTGGATGGCGTGGGCTCGGGGCCAAGCTCCGGGAGAGGGGGCTCCTTCCGCAGGCCCGGCGGGCTGACCTTGCCGGACGGCAGGAAAAGCAGGACCAACCCCAGAGGTCTGCAGGCCAGCCCTTTCCGCCTGGTGCCCAACATCAGAATCCACATGGATGGGGTAAGAAAGCTCTTACTTGTTAATATCGCGCCACTTGGAGGCTGGATTTGCATATACCGGGAGCTAGGGAATATCTTCTTCCAGTTAGGTTTCACAGTGCTGCCGGTGATTGCCCAGGGATAAGTTTCTGTGGGCAGTGATCCTGTCTCTGAAACAAGGTGGAATCCTGAGCCTATCGAGTCCATCTAAGAATTCTCCTTAGAACTGCTAGAGCTTCCTTAGGCTCTCCTCACTTCTTGTCCGGGAGGTAGGAGAGCGAGGAAAGCCTTTTAGATTATATTTTTGGTCTTTCGCTTCTGCTGTTCCGAGGGCAAACCAGCGCGTGGGAAATGCGTGAAGGGTGGGGAAGAAAAGAGAGAACAAATCCAAATGCTTGCTGCTTTTGAGATCTCCGAGAAGTTTCCAAACGCCAGGTATTGTTTGAATTTTACCCAAATCCATCTCCCCACCCCTAGTCATAAAGCACTTTGATGACAATGCCCATTCATCATCTGTTCGAAGCTATCGGGTTACTTGACGCCCAAGATAGTGCCAGAGGGAAGCGTCTATGTGGGTGGACGGATTGATAGCAGAGGCTGGGCTGTGAAGCACAACAGATATGTATAGGGGCGCTGCAGATAGGTCTCATTTTGCAAAATGAATAAAACCCACAAAAAATACACAGCAGAGGCTGCATCTTAAAAAACCAAACAGACCCAGGCGAACTGCACAGGTAATGCTTTTGCACAGTAATGCTTTTCCTGTCTGGATAACTCGAATCTCTGGGTCCAGCCCTGCAAATGCAGCCCGAGGACTTTATCCGACCTGGCGGTGAGCCTCATAGCAGGATGCAATGTAAGGGCACATCCAGAGAAGGAAGGACATGGTCCCTGGAAGGCTGGCAGGATTATTTGCAGTGTCACCCCTGGAGTCAGCCCGCCAAAGTGGACACAGGGCGCTGCAGCTTGGGTCGTTGGCATAATTAGAAAATCGAAGCTGCATTCTTTGACGCCTTAACCCAAAGCAAACTTCAACCCAGGCAGGAGGGACCCACCTCTCCTCGCTCTGAAGAGTGCTTGGGAGGGTCTCGAGGAGACTCCCTCCCCACTAGGGAGAAGTGGCTTGTGATGTGCAATTGGAACGACTTTCTGAAATTCTCCCTCCAAGAGCTCACCCCTTCCTGGGTTCGCTGCACCTTTAAGCCACCCACGTGGCAGGGGCATGTGTAGACGTTCAAACATCGAGAGTGGGAAGAAGCAGGACACTGCTATTTCTGCACTGCAGACTCTATCGCTGCTGTGCTCGTGTGTGTGAGCACATTCCAGAAGAGGGCTTGGCACTCCTCTCCAAGTCTCCCCATTAGCCCTGGTCTCCTTGTCATCAATCAGAATCCACAGCCCTGGAGACGGTGGGGTTGGGGTGGGGAAGCAAATTTTTTCTCAAACCTGCCTTGTTTACACAGAAAAGGGCTCTATCTCTGGGTCGGCAAAGACCCCTTGAATTCCTAAGACCCAGCAGCCCCCTCCCCTCCCCCACCTGCCTTTCAGCAGAGTGTCATCACTCACTAGGTAAGGAACATTGCGGACTTGTAGGAGGCAGGTCCCTTATCAGCTTCAAACGTGTTTGCTCAGGTCCTCTCATCTTCTTCCATGTGGCTGTGCTGCTAAGAAAAGGTAGCAACGAATGGATCCACAGCTACTGAGCTTTCAAACCATGCAGCATTCCTGGGGCCCTTCTGTCACAGGGAATTGAGGTGACAGTTTGTCATACGTAGGAGCCAGCCATGAATATCCCGGGCGCCCCTGGAACTCTGCCACAGGGACTTAGAACATCAGAGAGAGGTGCCAGTGATGTGTCTGTGCCTATCCTCCAAGCTGCGCGGGACCGAGTCCTACCAATGAGGCTGAGACACAGACCAAAGACTTTGAGGGCTCCTGCTTCCAGGAAAGACCTGGGTTAGGAAGATGCTCTGCAGCAGAGCAGAGCTGGCAGCCACCACCTCACCCCCCTGCCCTGCTTCCTTCCTTTCTTGAGCGATTCTTTCCTGTAGTGGCTCCTCTCATCCCTTCCGCCTCTCTCACTAGGGACATGAACAAACCTGTTCCTGGATGTAAATATGGTTGATATTCTGCAACCCGTCTCTACTGCCCCAAATATAGCTGTCTTTTCTGTAAGTGTGGAAGCAACCGAGCATCCCTCAGTTAAGAGAACTGGGCATGGCCTCCGCGGTGGCTCACGCCTGTAATCCTAGCACTCTGGGAGGCCAAGGCGGGAAGGATCGCTCGAGGTCAAGAGTTTGAAACCAGCCTGAACAAGAGTGAGACCATGTCTCTACTTAAAATAGAAAGAAACTAGCTGGACAACTAAAAATACATAGAAAAAATTAGCCAGGCATGGTGGTGCATGCCTGTAGTCCCAGCTACTCGGGAGGCTGAGGCAGAAGGATCACTTGAGTCCAGGAGTTTGAGGTTGCTGTGAGCTAGGCTGATGCCACGGCACTCTAGCCCCGGCATCAGAGTGAAATTCTGTCTCAAAGAAAAAAAAAAACACACCCAAAAAAAGAACTGGGCATTGTCTGGATGCCACACTGTGTTCTAGGAGTCACAGGAGTGAGCTTGGCCCCTCAGTCAAATCCTCCTGAGCTACTTGCCCTTTCTGCCTTAGTTTAGCCAATCTAGTGAAATAATACTTACTACCCGCCTTCCTCTGGGATAGTGTGAAAATAATCATTGCAACATACCCCCCGTCACCTTAGAAAACATCTGCTATGTAAATGCAAGGCATCATTATCATTCATTTAAACTTGCTGTATGACTTTGAGTAAGCCACTTAAGTTTGCTGGGTCTCAATTTAAAATTCTGTAAAATGGGAAGACGTATCATAAAAACACCCATTGTGAGGCTTAACTAATTAGTGTTTTGTAAAGGACTTTGAGAGCCTTAGATGAAAAACATTTGGAAGATCATTATTATAGTGAACATTATTATTGACTGTTTATTGTGCCCTGCTATGCATGAGACATGCTGCAAAACATAGAAAGAGTTACAACCCTTGCAGGAGAGTGTAATAGATATTATTATTGAAGTTGATTCTATGATGGATTCAGGCCAGGATAATACTAAGTATGAGGTACTCCCCCAGGAGGGCATAAATAACCTGTTGTCACAGGGTACCATTTTATAAAACACCTCTTTCAGAGGACTTGCTGATAACCTGGCATTCTTAAAGAGTTCATTTAACTTCCTGTCCTTGAGGTTTTTAAGCCCAAAGTCTGCTCTGCTCACCTAGGTGCATCTAAAAAACAAGCTCATCGAGATCCTTTTGTTAGCTCAAAGAAGCCTGATGCATCTTGTGCCAGCCATTTATGCTTGGGTGGAACCAATAGTCACACCTCATGGTGCCAGCCCAATAGACAGGAAAAAAAATAGCCCATTGTGCCGACATGTCTAAAACCCTCCCAAGCTGATTGTGTAAAAAGAAAACTTGAGAAACAACTGTAGGTTTCTGCAGCACGCAATTATTTCAGACCAACAGGCGAGATCACCAGCCTCCTGGCAGGTCCCTGGTCATGCAGAGCCCAGTGGCTCTTACTCTTTCCCGTCATGTAGTCAAACCAAAGGAGTTTTGCAAGCCTCCGAAAGGACTGTGGGTTTCTGAATAGCTGATCTCTCTTCCTCTTCATTCTGTTTCATTTCAATAACATCTCTGAGTGAGGACAGGCAGTACAGCAGGGAAGTGAAGCATTTGCTGGCTTAGGTTTGAGAAATATCAAAATTCAAATCCTGAATCTGTCCCTCAACAGTTGTGTACTTTGTGGGGGGAGTGAGTCAGTTAAATTCCTCATCTGCACACTGGAGATAATAGTAGCGCCTACCTCGGGGCGGGGGGGGGGGGTCGTTGTGAGAAATAAATGAGATGATTCATGTCACTCGGCTCTTAGCACAGTGACTGGCTCATAGCAAGTGCTCAGTAAGTGTTCTCTGTGGTTGTTATTGAAGTGACTCAACACTTTCTATTCTAAATTGCACGCCCCCCTCTCACCCCCTTGTTAATCAAGTGCCATCCAGGTCCTCGGTCCCTCGATTTATTCCCTGTTTTATTCGCCTCCGAATGATCCGTGGCCATGATTCAGGAGTGTGATCCTCCACAGCGTGTGCTGGCTTTGCAGCTCACTCCCAGGACCCTGAAGGAGCCAGGAGTTGAGTCTAGGAGAAAACTCCCTAACCAACTTCACTTCCCCAAACAGCAGGCTCAAAGGAAAAGCGTGCACAGGGCAAAGAGCCTGGTCCACTTCCCAGCATCATCGACTCTTCGTTAACTCTTCTGTCTTTCCCTTTCTCCTGCCTCTCACTCTCCTCCCCAACACCAGTGTCCCCACCCTGCGTCTTGCAAGGCTGGACTTTGTCCCTACATCGGTCGTTAAGTATTGTGCCAGTTACCTGCATTTCTGTCTTACTCGCCCCTTATCAGCGAGAACACACCTGTCACCTCCAGCACACAGACCAGGTGGCTTTGTCCTAGAAACTTTTCGGCCAGTGTTGCAAGCAACTGAGGGAGAAAAATGAGGTCAGAGAGCACATCAAGGAGTTGAGGCTGGGTGGAAAAACCAGAAGGCCGTCCAACCCCTTTCCTAGGTCTCAGATGTTGCGTCCCGAGACAGAGCTGTGATGCAGACAGTGGTTTTGCTATATTTGTAAGGGGATTAAAATCATCCCAGGCTCCTGAAAACAGCAGGCAGGGGCCACCTGGGACAGTAAGGACCATATGTGGCAGGTGGAGGAAGCCATAAAGGTAGGCGCTGAGGTTGAGAAGTCAGGAGACCCAGATGGTTCTCCAGCTTCACACACATTTGCAAACACTTTTAAAAACCACATGGCCCCAAACTGGCACTGCCCCCAACCTCTCTTGGTGCACCTTCTTCCTAGTTACAATCCCCTGCCTTTTATTGCTTACCGATTTGTGGCCTAATGGAGTTGGGTTTGTGCTGGGATTCAATCATTTGTTCTCTGTGAGGCCTTAGG